CATACATACATACATACATGGATGCATACATATACACCTACATGCATACATACAAACATACAGGCAGACCTACCTACCTACATACATGCATGCATGCATACATGCATGCACAGATCAATACATACATACATGCGTACATACATACATGCACACATACATACATACATACATACATACATACATACATACACACATACATACATACATACATAATTACATATATACATGCATACATACATATATACATGCGTGCATGCATACCTACGTACGTACATTTATACATACACATACACATCTATGAATATACAAATCTATAGATATATATATATATAGAGAGAGAGAGAAATAGATATGTATATATACATACATACATACGTACATACATACATACATACATACATACATACATACATACATACATATACATGTGTAAATGCAAATACCTATACACACAAACACATACCTATACATATCCAGATACGTATGAATACTAGAACCACGCGCGCGCTTCGCGCGCGCTGATGTTCCAGCAAGCACCAGCTGTAGTCTAAAGTGTTCGGCATCGGAGGACATATATTGTCACATGGATCGTGCACCTCAGGGAGCTCCACCTGCGGCCCCTCAGACAGGCTTGGCTGAGGGTCCCCCCGCCCATGCCGGCACACCCCTCACAGGCATCGCGTCCCACAGGGAGATCCACTGAATTACACCCCCAGAGACGAGGTTCGAACAATGGCGCGCCCCTCACGCGGACCGTGCCCCGCAACTAAATGTATTTGCGGCACCAGAGGGGAGCTTCATAACATCGCTCACTTCGGCACACCTCTCACACGGATCGTGGCCCGCAACGACATCCAGGGACGGCCCCAACGACAAGTTTCGCATCCCGTCATCCCGCTTACTTCGGAACACCTCGCACACGGGTTGTGATCGTGGCCCACAGGCATCTCCACCCACGGCCCCAGAGACAGGGTTCGCACTGCGCCCAACCCCCCCCGGCCATTGCCGCACACCCCATCACGTGGATCATACCCACAACCAGTACCACCTCAAGGTCCAGAAGATTCGTACAACGCCCCCCCCGCCCATGTCGGCACACCTGTCACGCGAATCATGCCCCAGAATGCACATCCTTGCATGGCGTCCCCACGCCCATTTCGGAACATGCCTGGCACGGGGCATGCCCGGAGGAGGTCCACCTGCGGCCTCAGTGGACGTGTTCGCGCGGCCCTTCACGCGGATCGTGCCCCACAAGGAGTTTAGCGAGGGGCGACGGATTGTCATGTTTTCCACAACCATCCTGTGGTGTTGGGTCCTCGTTTTGAATAGACGGTCTCCGCGCTCCACCCTTCCTTCCTTCCTTCCTCCCTCCTCCCCTCATCCCTCCTCCCATCCCTGCCTCTGCTCTCTGCATGTCCTCGTCGTCGTAATCGTCGTCATCATCATCATCATCATCATCATCATCATCATCACCACCACCACCACCACCACCACCACGACCACCACCACCACCACCACCACCATCATCATCATCATCATCATCATCATCATCACCACCACCACCACCACCACCATCATCATCATCATCATCATCATCATAATCATCATCATCATCATCATCATCATCAGCAGCAGCAGCCATCATCATCATCATCATCATCATCATCATCATCATCATCACCATCATCATCATCATCACCATCATCATCATCACCATCATCATCATCATCGTCATCAACATCATCATCATCGCCATAATCGTCATCATCATCAACATCATCATCATCATCCTCATCATCATCATCGTCATCATCATCAACGCCATCATCGTCATCATCATCATCATCATTAGCAGCATCATCATCCTCATCCTCGTCATGGTCACCGTCATCACAAACATCATCATCATCACCACCACCACCACCACCTCCATCATCATCATCATCATCATCATCATAGGCATCATCAGCATCAACAGCATCATCAGCATCATCAGCATCATCATTATCAGCATCATCATCATTATCAGCATCATCATCATCATCATCAGCATCAGCATCATCATCATCACCATCGTCATCATCAACATCATCATCAGCATCATTATCATCACCATCAACATCATCATCATCATCCTCATCATCATCATCAGCATCAACATCATCATCATCATCATCATCAGCATCATCATCAGCATCAGCATCATCATCAGCATCATCATCATCATCACCATCATCATCATCATCATCATCATCATCAATCATCATCATCATCATCATCATCATCATCATCATCATCATCATCATCATCATCATCATCATCATCATCATCATCATCATCATCATCATCATCATCATCATCCGCGTGTCGTGCCCCCATGGGGAGCTCCACCGAAGGCCCCAGTGGCGGTGTCCACATGCGTCTCCCCCACCCAGCACAGCGTTTCGTGGCCCCATAGGGAGCTCCACCGAAGGCCCCAGTGGCGGTGTCCACATTCGTCTCCCCCACCCAGCACGGCTCTTCGTGGCCCCATAGGGAGCTCCACCGAAGGCCCCAATGGTGGTGTCCCCATGCTTCCCCCCCACCCAGTACAGCGCTTCGTGGCCCGATAGGGAGCTCCACCGAAGGCCCAAGTGGCGGTGTCCACATGCTTCTCCTCCACCCAGTACAGCGCTTCGTGGCCCAATAGGGAGCTCCACCGAAGGTCCCGGTGGCGGTGTCCACGTGCGCATCTCCCACCCAGCACAGCACTTCGTGGCCCCATGGTGAGCTCCACCGAAGGCCCCAGTGGCGTGCCCACATGCGTCTTCCCCACCCAACAAAGCGTTTCGTGACCCCACAGGGAGCTCCACCTAGAACCCCAGTAGAGGTGTCCATATGCGCCTCCCTCACCCAGCACAAGTGCTGCAACGCAAGTTGCAAGTGTTTGAAGCGTGTATTTTATCCAAGTTGCTATATGGCCTCGAATCGTGCATGCTATTGAAGGCTGATAGGGCGAAGCTGGAGGCATTCCAAGCGCGATGCTTGATGAGAATTTTCAAGATTTTGCCAGCGTATTTGTCTAGAGTCAGCAACGTGGACGTTCTTCAGACAGCGAAAGTACATAGCCTATCTACAACTTTGTTTCAACGCCAACTACTGATATATGGCAGGCTCGCCCAGGAACCTCCGAGCAGCCTCCCAAGACGAATGTTGTTTTCTGTCGGGAGCCACTCTTCTGTCTTGTCCCGGACGTGGGGCAGCGCACGAGCCCGAGGCAGGCCGCGTTTGCAATGGACGACGTACTTTCACTCACAAGCTTCGGCGTTGTCTGCGCGAAGCCTCAGTCGACTCCAATGTTTTTTAGGCGACGAAGCGACTTGGCGCTCAGCCGTCGAATCTTGGTGCAATATTCGTTGATTGTGTTTGCCCCGGTCCCCCTCCTCCCTTCCCCTCCTCCCTCCCTCCCTTCCCCTCCCCCCTTCCCCCCTCCCAGATTGTCTGCAGGTTTTCGCGTCGTGCCCCATGGGGTACAAAGTCTTCCCATGGTCTGCCACCGACCCGCCTGCAGCGCAATCGATTATTCAATGTATTATTTATTTGTATGTTTTGCTTGTGCCTGCACGCCGCCACCTGCCAATTTTCCTTGCCAATGCGCCGTCTGGGCGCAGCTTCTGTCTGTCTGTCTGTCACTCAGCACAACGTTTCGTGGCCCCATAGGGAGCTCCACCGAAGGCCCCAGTGGCGGTGTCCACTTTCGTCTCCCCCACCCAGCACAGCGTTTCGTGCAGGAGCCCACGAACGTGGCAACGGTTGCGCAGTTCGCAGCCACCCAGGGAGAAGCGAGAGCTCAAGTGGCTCCTCGGGGCCCCCGACTCCGCCGTGCCTCCCAGGAGCCCATGACAGTGGCGACAGGTAAGCAGTTTGCAGCTCCCCAGGGAGCTGCGAGTCTCGGCTGGGTCCACGAACTCCCCGACTCCGCCGTGCCTCCCAGGAGCCCACGAAAGTCGCGACAAATGCGCAATTCGCTCCGCAGTGCCTCCCATGAGCCCACGAAAGTGGGGACACTTGCGCAGGTCGCAGCCCTGAAGGGAGCTGCGAGGTCCCGACTGGGTGCGCGAACTCCCCGACTCCGCCGTGCTTCCCAGGAGCCCACGAAAGTGTCGACGGTTGCGCAATTCGCAGCCCCCCAGGGAGCTGCGAGGTCTCGGCTGGGTCCGCGTACTCCGCTACTCCGCCGTGCCTCCCAGGAGCCCACGAAAGTGGGGACACGTGCGCAGGTTGCAGCCCCTGGGGAGCTCCGAGATCTCGGCTGGGTCCGCGTGGCCACCGACTCCGCTGGACCTCCCAGGAGCCCACGAAAGTCGCGACAAATGCTCAGTTCGGAGCCACCCAGGGAGCTGCGAGTCTCGGCTGGGTCCTTTTACTCCGCTACTCCGCCGTGCCTCCCAGGAGCCCACGAAAGTGGCGACCGTTTGGGCAGTTCGCAGCCACCCAGGGAGCAGCGCCGCAGCCACCCAGGGAGCAGCGCAGGAAGAGGCAGGAGGAAGGGGGAGGAGAAGGAGGGGGCAGAGGAGAGGTGGGGTCAGCAGTGGTCGATTCGAAACGAGAACCCAACACAGGAGGGTTGGGAAAAAAAAACTCGGAGGTCCGCGCGGACTTCTCGGATCGGCGCTGGAGTCCTCTGGCGGCGCCTCCGGCGCCGGCCCTGGCGCCGCGCGCCAGAGGAGGCCCAGCGCCGATCCAAGAAATCTGCGCGGACCTCCGAGCTTGTATGTTTGTGCTACTGCTTGTTCCCCGATCCATCCCCTCCTGTTCCATTTGTCGCCCCTGCGACGGAATGCTTGGAAAGGGGCCGCGGGCGCCTGGCGCCAGGGTCTTTGCCACCCCTGTTGTTCTCCATTTCGGCACGTCGTGCGCGCCCAAACGCTCTACAAGAAAGCCATTACCGTCACCATGGTTGCGCCCATCCCCTTCCACACGTGGGCTGTCTGCAGAGGCCCCTCCTCCCCCCATCCCACGTCCCCGGATCCTCGTGGTACCCGCAGCGCCCGTCCACGCATTGGCCGCACGTCTGGTGCGGGCCGCACGCCACCCAGGACAGAGTCTGAGACCTGGCCGGATGACTTTTGATCTCGTGAAGCTGGTGGCGCGGGATCGCACGAGCAAGCGGGGAATATCGCAGACGCCGCAGTCGCCGTCGCCCCAATCAAAATGGAGCCAAAACGTTTTCAACTATTTGCGACGCCTCATCCCCCCAACTCCTCATCCTCCTCCTCCTCCTCCTCCTCCTCCTCCTCCTCCTCCTCTTCCTCCACATCATCTTCTTCATCATCACCATCATCATAAGCAGCAGCAGCAGCAATTCTCACCATCGCCATGACCATCACCAGCAACATCATCATCATAATTGTCATCATCATCATCATCACCACCACCACCACCATCATCATCATCCAACTTCTCCTTGTAAGTATTTAGCCCTCGCGCCCATGCGCCTTGTTATGGGTCAGGAGATCGCCCCGACGGGCTGACAATCAAGCGGCCAAGACCCCTCGCGGGTGGAAACGCACGCAGAAACAAAGAATGACTCGGATGGCGGCGACAAAATGCAAACCGCTATGTACAGCTCGTCCCTGGAAGACGTATACGGTTGTCATTTCGCTTAAGCCTTGCACGCAGCGGTTTGAGGGGCCTCCTCGACGCTTTTACTGGTATATTGCACCACCGCGTATTTCGGATGGCAGCGTAACTTGAATGCATATGAATGGAAACAAAGGCGAGGCCAAATGGTCGTTCGCTGCGAACTTACGGAAGGACATGCTCATACCACCGCGAGTATTTTAAGAATTCTCGTGTGGTGGTGGAAGACTTGTGTTTTCCCTACCACGCTGTGCGCTCTTCCTCCCCGAATTTCCGTCCCCCCCTCCCCATCCTCATCCTCCTCATCATCAGCATCATCCTCACCATAATCACCGTCACCAGCAACATCATCATCAGCATCATCATCACCACCAGCATCATCATCATCATCAGCATCATCAGCATCATCATCATCGCCAACATCACAACCATCACTATCATCATCACCATCATCATCAGCATCATCATCACCATCATCATCCGCATCATCATCATCATCATCATCATCATCATCATCATCATCACCACCACCACCATCATCATCATCAGCAGCATCAGCATCATCATCGTCATCATCATCATCAGACTCATCTTGGCTAGCATCATCACCATCCTCATCAACAGCATCATCCTCGTCCTCTTCTACTCCGTTTGCATCTAAGCCTGTCGGGGCCGGCAAAGAATTCATTCGCAGGCGCCCACCACGCCTTTCCCTTCCCACGCAGAAACGCGCGCGAGTCCTCCAACAGCTGCTCACACCTGAACTCCCGTAGCTCCTTCAGCCACACCTCGTCACACCGCTCGCACTTCGTCAACCACGCGACCCCGCGTGCCCCACAACCGCTGCGACGAACACTTCCTCGCGACGGAAATACGTTGAATTGGCATGTGCGCCACGAAACCCAAGCCCGGAGGCGCGAGCTGCCCAAAATCCTCGCTCGCGACGGAACACAGCCCGCCGAAGTGGACTGGCGCAAAAAGACACCCCCCCACACTGCGCAACACGCCCCGGATTGCGCATCAAAACTTCTCACCCACCTAACCTGGTGATCTTGCGCCCACCATGCTGCCTTCGTCAATAAACAACACCGCCACTGTCTCCTCGTCGCGTTGAAAGGCAAGGACTACGCAAATACGGCGCATCGCGCCCCGCCCAACAACTGCGCAGTCACGGCCTGCTGAACAGCGCCCTGGACGGCCAATCCGCTCTGCCACCTCACCAGATCTTCGATCCGCTCTTTCCAGAGAGTACGCAACACGCGCAACTTCCCGGCCCCGGGGCCCCCGTGCGGGCACGATCGGAGCCGCTCACCGACATCCAGGAGATTGCCCGCCTCGGACTCGAGCTCCTGCAGGACTGGGCCACCGCCCGACTTATCACCTAGCACTGACGGGGGTTCACCGCGCGCCCCCCGGGTTCTTTGTCCCGTCGATGCCGTAGTCCGCACAAGCGTCCATCCACCTCCACTGCCCACACCGCGTTTTGCCATCCGTCTTTGTCGCTGCTCCTCGTTGGGCCATAGACGTCTCCTGGCTGTGCGCCTTCCGCTCCTCCTCCACCACGGCGCCCACGGCGCAGGGTTTTCTCCCCGCGGCGGCGACCGCGGCGTTTCGCCGAGATCCGTTTCCTTTCGCCCCGCGGGCCCCGCGGTCGCGGCACCACGCGAACACTGCTGCTGCATTTTCGCAGAGCAACACCCCCCTGCGCCTTGGCTAAAGGCATTTCCCCCGTTGTCGCCTTCGCCGCCCTGTTGCTTGCGACCGCCAGCGCGCGATTCGAGCGCCTCGCCCATTTGGTCAAACTCGACGTTTAGCTCGTCATCGCCGACGTCATCGCCCCGCCCGCGGGGCCATCCGCATCCCTCGGCCACACATGGTAGACGCTCAGACAATTTCCCGCGTATCGAACCGCTTTCTCCGTTGAAGCTCAGCCGTTCGGCTATTTGGCCATGGCTGGAGAGCGTTTCTATATTTGGGGGGATGACGGGCGTCATGGGGGGGGAGCGGGGGCGGTATGACGCAACGCACCCCCCCCGCCGCGTGGCTCTGGCACCACATCCGCTCCCACGCGCACGACGACGATGAGCGACAAGCGACGAGCGAAAACGACGACGACGACGACGACGACGACGACGACGACGACGACGACGATGCGAGCAGCATGTAGGTGGCGATCTGCCCAACAACGCCTGCGTACACCAATGCTCGCGTGCACCACAGCGCGCGTGTACATCACAGCGCTTGCGTACACCACAACTGCCGTGCGCAACGCAGCGCCCGTGTACACCACAAGGCTTGCGTGCACCACAACGCCGGTGTTCACCACAGCAAGTGTGCACACCGCAGCAACCATGTGCAACGCAGGAGAGCCCAGAATCGAATCGACAAGTCGGATCGGCGGTCGAAATGAATCGGACCGGCGGAAAAGCTTCGCGCTGGCACACGCGCGCGCCAAACAAAGAAGGAGGGAAGAGGAGGGAGGATACGAAGACGGGAGAAGGACAAGGATGAGGGTTTTGTGGCAAGTCGGCCACGCGCCCAACTCATTAGCGCGAGCCCCTCCTGGGCTCGCGCTGGCACGGCGCGGCAGCAAGGAGGCTGCGCGCCCTTTCGGAACGTTCGCCGGCCCAGCGGCCCTAGCCGAGGACCCAGAGAGGGCCACGAGGGAGCAACGCGGGGTGGGTGGGCAACCCTGCTGGCTCGACTCCCACGGCTGCGGGGCCTAAATGAGCTAAGTAAAATCCCCACCCCCGCCGCATACAACCCACAGTCTCAAGCAATCAGACTCTACAAGTCACGCGCTGGCAAGTGCGCACTAAACAAAGGAGGAGGGACGGGAAGGGAGGAGACGAAGACGGGAGAAGGACAAGGATGCTGGTTTCGTGGCAAGTCGGCCACGCGCCCAACTCCTCAGCGCGAGCCCCTGCCAGGCACGCGCTGGCACGGCGCGGCAACACGGAGGCAGCGCGCCCTTTCGGCGCGCTCGCCTGCCAATCGGCCACCATCAACCGCAAAAACACCAAAAGCGCAGCCACTGCACGTAGCGGCCACTTGCCTGCAACACGAGGCCTTCCAGGGGCAAACGCCGGGCCGCTTCGGCGGGGGCCCGCCGACGCGCGGCGGCGCGCCGGGCCGCCGCGCGCGACAACGGCGCAGGGCACCAGGGCCGATGTCTGGAAGAAAGGTGGGGGGAGAATAAGGGAGCCCACCCAGGGCCCCCCCCCCCGGCGGGCCCAACGCCGCCCACTCCCAGGCTCGCGGCCCTGAAGCACGGGCCGCGCCCGGCGCCTCCAAAGGGAATGAGACAACGACTGGCGCCAGCGAGTCCAGGGCGCGAGGGAGAGGCAGCGCTCCGCGCCACTGCGCACGAGGCGCAGCGCGGGAACGCGCATGGGCCCACGACCCGGGCGCGGCCAACGCTGCACCTCAGCGACTTGCACAGATTCGCCCCTGGAGCAGGACGGCAACACCGCCGACGCGAAGCAGCATTCCAAACTGCCGCGCGCGAGGGCCACACGAAAGGCGCGCGGCCCCAAAAACAGAACGAGCCAAGGACCCCATGGCCCAGATGACTCGAGAGGCGAAGATGCCAAACGCCCGCCAGCCCAAACGGCTGGAACGCAGGGGGCGCGGCGCCCGCGGCGACGGCCCTTCCCTGGGCGGGGGCGGCGGCCCGCGCGCGCGGGCATGGCCGTTGAGGTCACCGACCCCAAACACATGATCAAGCGACACGCGGCGCCCGAGCCCGCGCGAACGGCGCGCGCCAGCGCCGCCTCGCGCGCCCACCGCCGCGCACCTCGCGGCCCAGGTCTCGGGCCCCCAGCCCTGCCTGGACTGGGCGGGGGGAGCCTGGCCCCACAAACCCCGGCACTCCTCGGCGGCCTAACCCATCGCCGCGCCGGGGCCGCGGGCGGCACGCGGCACGGTGGCCCACCCCCTCGCCACGCCGGGGCCCAGGCGGGCTGTCTAGCGCTGCCAGCCTGCAGAGCTCCTCTCGCGCGAACGCTGGCAGCCCTTGCCCTCCTTCGCCTCGTTGCCCTTCTGCTCGCGCAACTGTTTGAGCCGAGGTCGACGCCGCCGTCGGCGCGGCCGCGCCCCTCGCACACTCACCGGGGGGCGCGGCGCGCTAGCGCGGGCAAGCCACGCAGCGCCGAGACCCGCCCCCGGGACTGCTGAACCTTCGCCACCCGCGCGCAGACCGTTGGCCGCCCTCGCCAACCAGGTCGCCTCCGCCGAGGCCCGCGGCGAGCGGATGCTGCGCGTCGGCGCCTGCTTGACCAGCTTCGCGACCACGCGCTCGGAACGGCCGCCACGCCGCGATCGACGCTCGGCCACCTGCCAGACGTCCGCCCGATACTCCATGGCAGCCTCGAGGAACCTCCTCCGCGCAGCGGATCGGGCGTCCTTGGCCGCCCTGGCCCTCCTCCAAGGAACGGGGCGTCGGCCCTGGCAGCGGCCCCAGGGGCCCCGT